AGGCATCGTCATTCCCTGACACTTCCATGGCCCAGTGTACAACACTGGACACACACCTTTGGAAATGTCTGAGAGGACACATTTTGTGGATATCAGAGATGTACTGCTGTTAATAAAGACCCTGCCCTTCACAAGCGCTTGAATGTTCATTCAACCTCTGGGCGAAGCCATTTCCAATTGGGGCTCCTTCTGGCCAGTACCTATTCCCACAAGTAGCTCCAGTTGTTGGGATGCTGGATGCTGGAATGACAGATGACCCAACTGGTGATGTGCTTGCATGAGCAATAACGTGACGAGCCTCAGTTAACTGGTGTCATGGGATACCAGCTCTCAGGAGATTACAGCGAACAACAGTCTGCAGCTTTATTTCTTCTGCCAGCTGGAGATAATCAGGGACTTTACCAAGCTCCCTCGGTAACAACAGCACAGCGAGAGATATTACAGCAATCTACAGCTAGTCCATATTAGGAGAGCAGGACGAATGACTGGAGACAGTTCATCACATCCTTTTACAGAATACACTTGGTTACAAAACAGATCATGACCCTTCTGCCCTTTCTATTTCCCCATAGGATCCAAGAACAGTCAGTGTTAGATTGCAAGGCTTAAGGAGTTGTTTCAGACCTTGCTCAGGAAAATGAAAATATAATTAATATTAATATATTTAGAGGTTTTTCAGTCTTATTTTCCAATAATAGAAAAACACAGAGACAGCAGTTAATTAGTACAAGTACAAATCTCATTTCATTTCAAGTACACCTGTACTTCATCATGTGCCAACAGCGTCTGAAAGCGATGGTCGAAAGGGGATGGATTTCTGTTGTTTAAGTTGTGGTACGTGTTGCCAACTAAAGCTCAAACGCTCTCTACAATCTTTGGCTGAACGTGGAACTTGTAGGTCAAACTAATGTGTTGTGACTGAGGATGCCTCTTCTTCATGTCTTCAAACAGCTTCCGGTCCATTTCGTCCAGCAGCCAGCCCAGCAGAAGAACATGCTGGATTCTGGGGAGCTGCGCGATGGCCCTTACAAAGGTGATGACAAGACGGGAAGAAGGTTTCATCAGATGAGACACGGGTCTGGAGATGTCCACCTTCACCAGGTTACTCAGGCGCCCCAGACAGTGGAACAATTCCTGCCAGCCTCTCTCTGTGGTGTTGATGCTGCAGTCTATAATGAGTTTATGAAGTCCAAGGAAATGGCCATTTTGGGTTGCCTTTGCTAAAAAATAGATTTATATTTGTTTACTACATGGAATACAGTTGTGGTATTGCAGCTGTAGGTAAGGGCAGCTAATCAAGCATTTTAATTCATTTGAATTTCATTTCCACAAATTAGTTATCTAAATTTGATATAGCATTACCATGAAAATCTATTTTTACTGTTTAAAAACAGTAGTATTAACCAAGATAATGTTTTCCTGATAGATAGGTTTAAACAATATTATTTTTTTAGAATACTAATACTACTATGTTGTTTATATTTCTAATAATAAATCTTCAATTGCATTGGAAAATGAAATGCACTATTGTTAGAAACAGAACTACTGTTTTATTACAACACAGTCCTAAATCAATAGGATAACAATTCTGGCATGAAGCTTATCAAAAATTAGAAAAAGCTCAATTTTATGATTTCCTATGCCTGATTAAAATAACTAAAAGCACTTACTTTATTTAGATGTTTTGAATGTTTTATAAACAGACGTACTGTAGGATGCATCCTAAGCAATGTATTTGAAAAATTACATAGAAAAGAAAAAATATGATAAAGTAGAGAGTTATGTTTCTGAACCTTCTGGCTGCGTTCTGTGACCCATCTACTTCCTAACCAGAATATCCCACACGGGGGCGCAGGAGAGCTGGAGCCTATTTCAGCAAGCAACAGGCGTAGGGCAGGATACACCCTGGATGGCACACCAGTCCATTACAGGGCAGATGCACACACACTCTTGACTTAGGCTAATTAACCTACCAGCATGTGCGTGGAAGCCCACATCAACACAGAGAGAACAAACAAACGCCAGTCAGATAGCATCTTAGGAACTGAACCCAGGGCCCCAGCACAGGTTTGATTTAGTTATTTTTACACCATTTGAAAATCATACAGTAGACTTGTCATAACAAGCACTTATTCTGTTGCAGATCTATTCTAAACGTAAAGGATCTTGGTACAACTTACCAAATGTGACAAGACTGTCATCGTTCAAACAGGAGTGCATTCGAAGGGACCTCAA